AGTACTCTGCGACCGCCCTGACACAAATAGTATTGTAGGTGCCGACATTTCCCTCTACAGTATTGTGGGCGCCGTTAAAACTCCCATACGGTAAGGTCTCCCACATGCCTCTAGGCATCGCTGGTATTGTGGGCGCCGGGATTTACCGTACCGAGAGAACGTGGTGAGACCCCTCACGTGCCTTTGGGCATCAACAGTGTTTGCAGGAGCCGACGTCTGCCATTTCTGAAGAAGGCAACACAACCTCCCACATGCATCTGACATTCTACAGTGACATCAATAGTGTTGTGGGCGCCTGCAATTATCTTGTACCTACCAGCGTGGGCAACAAGGTTTAGCAACCAACGTACTTCCTTTCTCTCACTTGTAAAAACATCCTCTTCGTCTATAAAAGAGGATGTGCTCTCTTCCAACAGATAGATGAATTCAAGTAGTTCAGACTCTCTAGATTCATCAGTTCTCTAGTCCACAACCGTAGAACCGTCGGGTTTGGACCTCAACCACACGCTTGAACACTTAGCTCATAGCGTAGCTCCTGTCGCTCCAGGCCATCCGATCGGAGCCGACCGGACCTCTTGTACCCCCCCCCCCCATCTTTCTCCTTCTCGTTTGTAACCCCACAGCAGACTTTGAGCACCTGGGCTCAGGAATAAAGTCGCTGACCGACCCAAACTGGACGTAGGGCACGTTGCCGAACCAGTATATATCCTGTGTCATCGAGTCCTAGGCCACCTCCGATCACAACGTACGGCAAAACTACAAATATTTACTAGTTGGTCACATTCTGCACCGACAAGCTCGTTAGTTGAATCTTTACTAATTTACTCGAAGTAGTAGATTTCTTTTGTAGATCCGCTGCCATCCCCTTCCCTATGTGTACTCGCTGACGTGTGGGTCCGATAAAACCCCCTCTCTCCGCGAATCTGAGAAATGAATAAAATATTAGTTGTGATGTGTTACGACAAAGAACCCCAAATTTGTAATGGTACCGGGCAAATTCCACTCGTTGCGGTGTCCATCGGCATATTACGTTTTTTAGCGGTGTCCTGCAGCAAAATTTCCCAATATAAAATTTAAATGCTATATACATATTTCTATATGACACGTCATAGATGAAGTTTAATCGTCACCCTTTTTCTGGATCAGATTATATTGTTGGAACACATACTGTGCACAATTTTGAAGATTGAAGTATATGCTCTGCATCTAGGGTTGCATTTTGTTGCTTTTTTAATTGTAATTGCTACTTGACTACATTCTAAGATCAACACTGCAAGTAGCAACCCATCATAGAATTTCTTATTCTTATGTGGACTATATGACAAAATGCTGACACGTTGCAAGAAGCACTACAGGAATATGCCCCCAGCGCCTTCTGAGTTTCTTCTGCTTCTTTCTGACAGGCCACCAAAAATGACACCAGTTTATTTTCGGGACTATGTAAACCCTGAAGTTGGTAGAGGCACACAAAGAGGCAAACACCTTTGGTCAGATCCATGTTGCACTGCGGCTACCAGATGAAGACAGTTTAGCTTGCATTGGGACGAGGGTCCGCACGCTTTTCTCTTCCACCCTGTCTCCCCACTTTGCCTCCTTGTTCTGTATATAAGTGAACTAAATCACATCAACCAAACCAACTCTTATGGTAGACAGCAAGCCAATGGAGACCATTTCATATCCTTGTTCTCCTCTCCTCTTCTTTCCTACACATGAAGAGAGTAGCTATTCACTATGGTCTCCTCAACTCACCCTCCATGAGAATGCCACCATACCTGCTGATCCTTCTCCTGATGTAAGAGAAGATTGTGAGCTCTTTGACACCATTGCTATTGATTCTAGTGATTCCCATGACCAACATCCCTTTGATGTTGATGTGTTCAACCATTGTGATGAGAGGTTTCTGTGCCAAGAGAGTGCTAACCTGGCGGCTATCCAAGATGAGCTCATGGAGGAGAACAGTTTAAGTGATCTCCTTCTCACTGGTGCAGATGCGGTTGAGGCTGGGGATTCAAGCCTTGCCTTGGCGGTGCTTTCAAAACTTAATGGCCTCTTGGCTGGCACCTGTGAGAATGCTGCAACCAGCTCTTTGGGTCGCCTGGCCTACCACTTTGCCCAAGGCCTGCAATCCCGGATATCTGGTGCATGCTATCCATGCTACCCGCCAGATCCAGTGCAGTCTGGTATCATGTCGGCGCACCAGATGATCCAAGAGCTGTCTCCATATGTCAACTTTGCACACTTCACCGCCAATCAGGCCATTCTAGATGCCACCATAGGTGACATGGATATTCAGGGGCTGTTTGGTTCTACAAGAACTCCTAAAATTCCTGTTACATCGAATGTTTGGACACATGCATGGAGTATTAAATATAGACTAATTACGAAATTAATTGCATAATTTGCGACTAATTTACGAGACGAATCTTTTAAGCCTAATTAGTCCATGATTTCACAACGTGGTGCTACAGTAAACATGTGCTAATGATAGATTAATTAGGCTTAAAATTTTCGTCTCGGAAATTAGCCTTCATCTATGTAATTGGTTTTGTAATTAATTTATATTTAATATTCCTTATTAGTATCTAAACATTCGATGTGACGTGAATTTTGTCATCGACTTCAACCTTGGTGAGGGCATACAGTGGCCATCGCTCATGTCAGACCTTGCTCGCCATGGTGGCAAGTCATTCCACCTTACAGCAATTATAACAGATGCTGTTTACAATGACGACACTTATCAAGCAGCTGCACGGCGGCTTTCGGAGTTTGCCGAGTCCTTGAACCTTCCCTTCCGGTACAACTCTCTGTGTGTACGCCATGAGGTGGACCTGGACGACTTCTCCCGGAACTGTGAAGGCCCAGTGGTTGTCTCTTGTGACACAACGAATCTGTGTTACAGATCAGGTAGCAAGTTACAGATGCTACTACTCTGTGTGAGGAAGTTACAACCCAAGTCAGTAGTCGTCATAGAAGAGGTGCTGGTCAGAATTGGGAAAGAGGCTTGTTTGTCCCAGGCCTCCTTTGTGGAGTTCTTCTTCGAGGCATTGAACCATTTCACCACGGTGTTTGAGTCCCTGTCGAGTTGTTTCAGCAGTAGTAGCAACAGGGCGTGCCTGAGGCTTGTCGAGAAGGATATGGTGGGGCCAAAGATACAGGACTTCGTGGGGCAGTACGGATCTGTGACACCGGAGACCGCTGCTCCGAAGGTTTTGGAGGGTTTTACATCTTGTGAGCTGAGTGCTTGCAATATTGCTCAGGCTAGGATGCTCGTTGGGCTGTTCAACAGGAGCTTTGGGGTCGCGCATGAGAAGGGCAGGCTTCAGTTATGCTGGAAGTCCAGACCTTTGATCTCTGTGTCGGTTTGGACTCCTGTATGAAAGGATATCAGTTTGTGATTGTTTCATTAGGGGTAATTTTTCTGGTAAGAGTTTGCACTGGAGGATTTTTTTTTGTTGGGAGATTATTTGTAGAATGCAACTATGCAAATGCCAGAATTATATTGTTTGTTTGGGTCGATTCTTCTGACTTTTATCAGGCTGGTGTCAACTTCTTTCCTGCCTTTCAGTTTCAGGGTGGCTTCATGGTATTATAGGCTACTAGGGACTGTTTGGTTGAAGGCCTTCAGTCCGAGCAGCTTCTAGCCCAGGCAGCAATCTCAGTCTCGGCCCTCTAAAATTGAAGACCTGAGATTTATCCCTGCCCTCCAAAATTAGATTTATGCCTGCCCTCCAAAATTGGAGGCCTCTGATTTATGCCTAGGCTAAGGCTCAAACCAAACAGACCTCTAATGCAACAAGCACTGAGGTATTGTTAATGAGCTCTTGTGTTTTGATTTTCCATATTTCTTTGTTATTTCTCTTAAGAAACATTTAAAGCCCCAAAACACATATATCTAAGAGAACTTGTAGTGATGAATAAGCTTGCAACTTCTTTGACTACTCCCTCTCCTTAAACGATTGTCGTTTTCGTTTCTCGAAAAATAACTTTAACTAATTTTATATAAAAATATTAATATTTATGGTACATAATTAATAACGTTAGATAGATCGTTAAATCTATTTTCATAATAAATTTATTTAGAGATTTAAATGTTGCATGTATTTTTTACAAATCTATTCAAACATACCACACGGAAATAAAAAACGACAATTATTTAGGGACCGACGTTGGCAACCGGCCTTCGGGGCTGCTGCTTTAATTTTTTTCCGCTAGAGGCCTAGAGCTAGGACTGCTGGAGCAACCAAACGCTTGGCCTTAGCCTTCGCCACCGCATAGAAAATGCCGTGACGGCCACGGCCCTCGCTTCCCGAATCTTGCCCGTACCGCGCTTAAATTCTCACAACTGGGCACGGCGAGTCGGCGAAGCCATCTTCCTCAGCCACGACGACCGCACCGCCCGTCCCCTCCGCCTCCACGTGGCTGCCACGACGAGACCGAGGTTGACCAGGCTGCTGCGCGCGAGGACGTGCGACGGTTACCAGCTGCAGCAGATGAGCAGGGACGGGCCCTGCCGCTCCTCCCTCAGCCCCACACTGCTCAGCCCTTAGCCTCGCGCAGGGCGACCAGCTCCTCTCGACGGCGGGCCGGTGCCCGGTGGCGACACTGGCTCGAGATCCGCTGCCATCCCCTTCCCTCTGTGTACTCGCTGACGTGTGGGTCCGGTAAAAACCCCTCTGCTTTTTTTGATAGCAGCTTCTTTACGCGTGGGCATCTAGAAAACAGCTAGCCTGTACAAGAGCTCGTAGTCATTTTGGTCACCTCAAAAGTCCTCTCTCTCTTTGCAGACCCATTTGGTTACTTCTTCCCAAGGAGCGTTCGTCATGGAGGCACTGATTTCTGCAGTTGCGGGTGAACTTGTCAGCCGGTTCATCTAATTCGTAGCACAGAACTTTTGCGACCGTACACTGAATGAGGATGACCATAGAAGATTGGAGCACGTCCTGCTAAGGATTCATACCATCGTTGAGGAAGCAGAGGGGCGGTGCATCACAAATCGAGGAATGCTGCTACAGCTGAAGATGCTCATGGAGGGCATGTACGAAGGGCACTACATGCTTGACAGGTTCAAGATACAGCATGCTGAAGAAGACAAAGTCGAAGGTGAGGTGAGATCACTTGCCATGTCTACTCTTACTGCTGCCAAGCGCCTTCGTTTTACTTCTGCTATCACAAAGGACACACCAGCAGCTTTTGGTACCGGGGGCACTGCAAACCTGAAAGGTATTCTTGACAGTTTAGAAGCAAAGATTCAGGATATGAGGGAGTTCGTCATGCTGCTTGGCAGCTGCCCACGCCTGCCTCGTCAGCCGGACTGTACATATCTGTTCATGGATAAGTGCATGTTTGGTCGCCACGCCGAGAAAGAGCATGTCATCAATTTCTTGCTGGCAAATGATGATACTCATGATGACTGCCCAAATCTGGGCATCCTTCCGATCATCGGTCCGCACCGAGTTGGGAAGAAAACCCTTGTGCAACATGCTTGCAAGGATGAGAGGGTACGCGATTTCTTCTCCAAGATATTGTTCTTCAAAGGGGATGATCTAGAGAACGGAGAATTCGCAGCGAGTTTAGAGGCTGCCTCCGGGAAGAAGTGCTTGTTTGTTGTTGAGTTCCATTGGAATTTGGATGAGGCAGCATGGGCAAATCTCAAATCCTCTTTTCAGAAGGTGGCGGGTCATGGAAGTAAAGTTCTTCTGATAGGAAGAACTCATGAAGTTGCTAAGTTCGGGACGGCACTGCCTGTCTGGATGAAGAGTTTGTCTCAGGAAGAGTACTGGTACTACTTCAAGGCACTCGCTTTCGGAAGCATGGATCCTGATGAGCATCCAAAACTTGCATCTCTGGGCATGCAGCTAGCTACTGAATTAAAAGGCTCATTCCTGGGTGCAAACATACTCGGTGAGATGTTAAGATCTAATCCCAACGCTCAGTTCTGGCACGCCATCCTGTCAAGCGTAAGAGCGCTCGTGCAGGAACACATGTTTTCCGTTGGGGTACACCCTGAAGACCTCCTTGAGAGAAATGTTCCTGTTGGTTTCACTAATGTTTCCTTTGTGGGTGCCCAAAGTCAGGGGTGCCTGGTGTATGATCTCAGGGAGGCTGGCCCTGGAGAAGATGAGCTGCCATTGCCGACGTCGCGAGAAGTACTGACGGGTGTCAAGGTTCCTGCTGAGGACAGGTTTGATGTGCTGGTATGGAAATCTCGCATCCCACCATACTGCAGCTACATAGCTACCTATGAGAGACAGAAGGCGCCCCGGCACATAGTTGGCAAGAAGAATCGTCTGGCTCTGAGAGAAATACAATCGTAGTTGTTCGCTGGCAAACAGATTTCTCAGAAAGGTGCATGTTGCATGCATCCTCAGGCATTTTAGTTCTCGAGACTGTCTGCTGGTGTATGATTTCAAGGGAAGCCCTGGCATGTCCATAGCGAGCTTCCCAGATTAACATCAAAATGAACACTGGTGGATGGTTGGAATTGGAAGTTTTCTTGTGATGGGATGCTTGATGTGCCAGCACCAAGTCATGCGTCCCTCCTTTCAGCGACAATATATATATATATATATATATATATATATATATATATATATATATATATATATATATATATATATATATATATATACCTCCGTGAAGCCAAAGCTCAGGTCGTCAGGCGTACGCCTATAACTAGAATCACCTGGTTGTTAACCATATAGGCATGATCTTGTTTGAAAAAGAAACATATTGCTGTAACTGCATTGTGAACTACTGTAACGTTTTTATGGCCTCTTAGGCTGCTCTCTTGTTAGCATTTTGGATAACTAAAATACAGTCCAATGCCTTGTACCAAGAACATGTTGCTGTATATAACCTCTCCCGACCTTACTGTCGTCTACTCCCTCTGTCCCCAAAAGAAATCATTCTAGACTTGGACTACGTCAAACTTAAAACCTTCTTTAAGTTTGACTGTATTTATAGAAAATATATCACTACTTGTGTATCCAAATTAGTTTATTATAGAAATATATTTCATTATCTATCCAATGATACTTCTTATGTATCATAAATATTAATATTTTTTTTGGTATATAATTGATCAAAGTTGAGATGGATTGACCGCTGAGAATAATACTCTTTTGGGGCTGAGAGAAGAAAGTATACTCTTTTTTTTTTGTATTCGACTCTACCTGTGCACAAATACTGCAAAACCGGCCTAGCTGTAACTTCAACTTGGGCCAGGATTGGAAAGTTGTGGGCTCCCAATGTCGCACTATGGAACGGGCCCAACCGGTCTATGCTCTTGGTCTCGTCGCATGCTTTGCTGGAGACGTCATGCTTACGACGAAGAACAGAACAAGTGTATATAGAACACTAATTAACAGAATATATGAACATCTTTATCCGTATGAAGTCATCTAATCATGCCAAAAAAAAAGTAAAAAGCACTAATAGTATAGAAGATTAGAAGCAGGTGTCGATGCAACGTGGTGCGGCGATGGCTGTGACGTCAGAGACGTGTTTAAATTTGTGCTGGTAGATTGATAGTGTTTGATCATGTCAGCAACGAGCATATTGGGAAATGAAAATAAAGATGACATGATTACCCCAAGAAAGTGGTGAGCAGTGGATAACTTTTTAAGTATATATATTGTTTCCTTTGTTTCAAATTATAGACCACCTCTTATTTGTACCAAGTCAAACTTCTCTAGTTTCCAAATAAATGCATCATCAAGATATTTAATGAAGAATTAAATGAAACTATTTTGATGTTGTATGTGTTAGTGCATTTTTTCATTAAGTTGGTTAAATTAGAGGAACTTGACTTAAGACTCCTCGCAAAAAAAAACTTGACTTAAGACAAAAGCCAATCTGACACTGGTAATTTGAAACGAAGGGAGCGTTTGAAATTTCATTTTCTTTTAAAAAAAGAAACAGACAGCTTGTGTGTTTGATGTGCTAGGATGCGGATGTACGGAGTAGCTCGTTAGTTGAATCTTTACTAATTTACTAGAAGTTGTAGATTTCTTTTGTAGAAAAAAAATTAGTACTTTCTCTGTCCTAAATTATAAGACGTTTTGATATTTCTAAATTCGTAACTTTTACTATGTATCTACACATAGCATATATTTATGTACGTAGCAAAAGCTATGAACCAAGAGAAACAAAAAAAATTCTTATAATTTGGAACGAAGGAGGACTACTTTGGTCTGAAAATATAAGTGCATAGACAAAGTCCCTTACATTTTTTTACAAAGGCAGTAACAAAAAAATATCTTAACTCATAATACCATGCTTCTAATTGGTTTTAACATCCAAATCTGGACAATAAAACTACAGCGCTTGGGAGGAACTATGTGATTTTGTATACTAGGATGAAAACTAAAAAAAAGTGCTATCTCTAAAGCCTTGGATGATGGTAGACGTGTAAATCCACACCCCTAGCAAGTGAGCCAGATTTATAGTTCATAAATAGAGCATTACCGGTTGATGTGATCTTTCTAAGGAAGTCCTTGAGTAACATTTTTATTAACGGATGGACTAGATAGCTTCCGCGACCGGGAGCGGCGTCTTCTCGCCAAGGTAAAACGCTTCCAAAATCGATTGTACCTGCTCGGTTTGAAAGTGGAGCAACCGGGGTGCCTGGCGGCGCGGCACACCGAGGAGCCGTGGTTGTGGCATGCCCGGTTCGGACATCTCAGTTTCGACGCGCTCGGTCGGCTGGAGAAGATGGTCCGAAGGTTGCCCCACATCGAGCACGCAGGCGAGCTGTGTGATAGCTGTCTAGCCGAAGAGTAGAGGAGGCTGCCGTTCCCAAAGGCGGCCAAGTATCGCACGGCAGGCCCCCTCGAGCTTGTCCACAGCGACCTCTGCGGGCCAATCACGCCGGCCACGCATGACGGTCGGTGGTACTTCCTTCTGATCGTGGATGATTGCAGTCGCTACATGTGGCAGCAACTCCTGACGAGCAAGGACCAGACGACGGAAGCGATCAAGAAGTTCCAGGCGCGGGCGGAGGTAGAGTCCGAGAAGAAGCTACGCGTGCTAAGGATAGAGCACGACGGCGAATTCACTTCGGTGGAGTTCGCTGCATACTGCGCGGATCAGGGTGTGGTGCGACACCACACTGTGCCATATTTGCCGCAACAGAATGGCGTGGTGGAGCGGCGGAACCAGACGGTGGTCGGCATGGCTCGATCCATGATGAAGGCCAAGAGCATGCCGGCAAAATTCTAGGGTGAGGTGGTGACCACGGCGGTATTCATCCTCAACCGCGCGCCAACGAAGGCTTTGAAGGGCGTGACGCCATTCGAAGCTTGGTATGGGTACAAGCCGAGCGTGTTCCTTCCTTAGGACGTTCGGTTGCATCGGCCACGTCAAGAAGTCGAAGCTGGTCCTCACCAAGCTAGAAGATAGGAGCATGCCGATGTTGCTCCTGGGCTACGAGGAGGGCACCAAGGCATATCAGCTCTACGACCCGCGCGGAGGCAAGGTTGTTGTCTCGCGTGACATCGTATTCGACGAGAAGGCGGCCTGGGACTGGGATGGTCTGGGCACGGGGGAAGCTAGTGGCTTCCGTAGCACCTTCGTCGTCAAGCACTTGGTCATCCATGGCGGTGGAGATGCTAGGGAGGAGGTGCCGACCACTCCAGCAGTAGAGTTGAGCACTCCGGCAGTGGCTCCGACCACTCCAAGAGTGGTGCCGAGCACTCTAGGAGGGGTGCCGAGCACTCAGGGACTGGTGCCGAGCACTCTGAAAGTGGTGCCGAGCACTCTAGAAGGGGTGTCGAGCGGTCCTGTAGTGGTGCCGACCACTCCAGGAAGGGTACCGAGCTGTTCAGCAGTGGTGCCGAGCACTTCAGCAGCAGTGCCAACCACTCCGATGGAACAAGGGACTCCATCAACACTGATCGAGTTCGCATCTCCTCCAAGCGACATCAGCGAGTTCGTGGATGCCTTCCACGATGGCGAGGAGGTGCGGTTCCGCAAGCTAGACAACATCGTTGGCAACATAGGGTCCTCAGGCCTGGCGAGTCGACTGCTTAATGACCCAGAGCTACTTCTCATCAGTGCAGAGGAGCCACCCACGTTCACGCTGCCAATTGGCGACGGGCGATGCTGGAGGAGATGAAGGCGATCGAGGAGAACGAGACTTGGGAGCTCGTCGATCCACCTCTAGGATGCTGTCCAATCGGCCTGAAGTGGGTGTACAAGGTCAAGCGGGACGAGCGTGGCGCCATTGTCAAGCACAAGGCGCGCCTCATCGCCCGTGGCTTTGTCTAGCGTGAGGGCATGGACTTCAAGGAAGTCTTTGCGCTGGCAGCGTGCATGGAGTCCGTTCGACTGTTGCTGGCTCTGGCAGCAGTGAAGGACTGGCGCGTCCATCACCTAGACGTAAAATCGGCCTTCCTCAACGGCAAGCTGATAGAGATGGTCTTCGTCAGGCAAGCTCTGGGCTTCGCCATCATGGGAGCGGAGCACAAGGTGCTCCGACTGCGTAAGGCGCTCTACAGGCTACGCAGGCACCGCGAGCATGGAACGCCATGCTAGGCAAGCTTGGATTCACACGATGCGCAACCGAGCACACGCTCTACACGTGGCGACGGGGGAAGGAGGAACTCGTCGGCATGTATGTGGACGACTTGATCGTCACCGGCGCGTGTGAGGAGGACATCGACAGCTTCAAGCATGAGATGGTGGCTCATTTTCGAATGAGTGATCTCGGCGCGCTCTTCAACTACCTCGGCATTGAGGTGAGATAGGGGAAGGAGGCGCTCATGCTTGGTCAGAGCGCGTACGCGTCGAAGCTGTTGGAGCGGAGCGGCATGGCTGAGTGCAAGCTGTGCGCGTCGCCGATGGAGGAGCGGCTGAAGCTAATGAAGGCTAGTACCACGGCGAAGGTAAATGCAACACTCTACCGGAGCATCGTCGATGGGCTGCGCTACCTAGTCCAAACAAGGTTAGACATTGCGTTCGTCGTGGGCTACATCAGTCGTTTCATAGAGGATCCCCAAGAGGATCATTGGGCCGTGGTGAAGCGGCTGCTACGCTACGTCAAGAAGACGGTGGATCAGGTGATCGTCTTCCCCAAGACCGGTGGAAATGGGCTGCGGCTCACGGTCTTCAGCGATGCAGACATGGTGGGGGACATCGACGGACGGCGGAGCACCTCTGGCGTGCTCGTCTTCCTTAGGTCAGCTCCAATCTCATGGTTGCCGCTGAAGCAGAAGGTGGTGGCGCTGTCCACGTGCGAGGCAGAGTATGTGGCGGCGGCCACAGCGGCGTGCCAAGCTGTGTGGCTGCGCTGTGTGGCCGCGCCGGCTGCTGGACG